GGAGAAGGAGAAGGAGAAGGAGAAGGAGAAGGAGAAGGAGAAGGAGAAGGAGAAGGAGAAGGAGAAGGAGAAGGAAGCACTGGTTTAATCATTAGTGTATATGGAGTATAGAGCCAATGGAAGAACATTTTACCTTCTAGCTAGGGATGTGGCTTATTCAAATAAGGGAATGGATTTCATGGAAGTGACAGCTTCTTAGCCTCCTTTGAAGGGTCTGGGAAGACACAGGAAATGGCCACTTCCTGATCTGCAATTATCTGGTGCCACAGCACACAGGAACATCCATTGCTCCAGGGGAGCAGATGACTGTCTGAACTGTCTGAACATGATTCTGTCACACTGACTCTGTCACACTGTCTGAACATGCTTTCATAAAGCTTGGTTCAGAGTTTCAAAACAGAAGACCAGAGCCAGACCAAAATACTTCATTGCCTAAGGAGGAGCAGAACATACTTTTGCCTAAGCCAGGATTCACAACACCCAGAACTGAGACAGAAATGCTTGTGAGATCATCTTACGTCAATACCAGGATACTAAAGGAAACAGTTATTTGTTCTTTTTGGTGACAGGCCTAAATAATATTTTTGCAGTAGTAGTAACTACTTCACTTTGCCTAATGGTAGGGCTGGCCTTAAGAAGGTTTTTGCATCTCAAAAACAAAAAACAAACAAACAAACAAAAACTTAAAGCAATTTTCCTGCTTCTCTGCATCTCTACCCAGATCATCATTATCATCTTAAGTTTTTCATTACCCTGCTTTGCATGAAAAGTGAAACTAAATCAGATTATAATAAAGACAAATCAATAAAGTAATGCTAAATTACAAAGTTAAAAGAAGCTTGTGAGTTAAAAACCTTACAGAATGGTAAAATTGATGCAGGACCATGATAACAACACAGAAATGCACTAAAGGTCACCACAGTATGAAACTAAAAGCAAGGCAAACAGGAAGGTCTTTAGTTAATTCTGAAAAATAACCATAACTGGACAGAGAAGAAATTCCATAAACAGGGAGCTGAGAATAGCCTCCATGTATTGAATGTTTGGCACTTTCAAGATGGCATCCTCACCTAATTAATTAATTATAATTGTTAAGGAAGTAGCTAATAGGTAAGGGGATAACAAGTATAAACCATGAAAAGTGACACTGCCAAGAAACTGAAGGGCAGTGATTTTGCCCCTCTACATACCGTCCCCAGTGAGAGCCAAAGTAAACTGATTTTCCGCTTTGCCATCTTTAAGATGGGCAGTGTATGTCCCCTTGTCGTCCTCGCAGAAGTCCTGGATGATCAATTCTACAAGGCCATTCGCTCTGTCAAAGTTGATCTTATGTGTCTGATGTAAAAGCCAAATAGGAGTAGTCATGAGTAAAGAGAAAGAAGTTTGTGAGTAGGAAGTAGAATCCATAAAGAAGATGCCACCTTGTTTTCATCACAGAGTCCTGAATTTTGTGCTAAACCAAATGAGGGGAACTCACCGGGGTGCTTGAGAGCTCTTTCCCATTGAAGAGCAAATGAAGCTCTGCTTCTGGAGAGAGTTTCTCAACTTCTAGCCAAAGTCGCACCTCCCCTTTCTCCAGAATGTCAACGTTCCATCCAGATATCAGCTCGATCACTGAAAGGAGTAGAAGATGGACATTACAGAAATGCAGCACTGAGCAGTGAGGTTCAGCCAATGTTCCCCAGGATCTAATGACATCTGATGAATTATAGAAGATTGAATATGTCTCCTTCTGTGGCTGTCCACTTCGGGAGGAGCCAAAACACTGTGGCAAAGCATATGCTTTGGATATAGGCCCCAGGTTCTGTTAGCAGCTGGGATTAAAAGAATAAGGAAGCAAAGCCAGAAAAGACCTCTGAATCACATATGGAGAACAAATCCAAGTTGGGCAACTTACAGCCCTAGGACCACATATGTCATTTAGCCTGATTCAACCACCTGTGTAAGAGATGAGCAACTATTTGTCTCTTCCCTGCAGGTTGGGGAAGAGAGAAAAGGGTTGCTTGGGTTTGATGTAAACAAGAGTAGTCTAATGTTAATAGATCATTGGTCTATCTCAGTGGAAGGTATCTTGATATGCAATCTCAAAATACCTGGAGGACACATCAGGTTACAGAAGGCAACAAGACAATAACTGTGTATTATGTTCTTATAATAATAATGATTATTATCCATTGGCAACTTACAGGGGTTTCGAATCTCATGGCTGATCTTTCGTAGTCGGTCCAGTTCTGAGAAATGAGAAGAGCAAGAGCACACTTGAGAGAGGGAGTTAAGATTGCATTTTAGCATTCATTTTATGCCCAAGACCAGTTCTTCCTTTCCATTCCATAGTCACATAAATACTGGGTTGAAGAAAAGGGTGACAGAACCTCTGGGGATGTTTTGTAAAGGATCCTACTCCTACCTGCTCAGAAGCAGTCCTACTGGGTCCCTGAATACATTGCAGGATGAAGTCGCCCCCTTAGATTTTGTCCCCCCACCCCCCAGCAACTTATTTGCTTTTTTATATATTTAGTTATAGAGTTTGTTACCTGCTTTTCATTATGACCATCATGATCTCACAGTAGGCTTAAAAATAAGGCTGAAATCCATAGAATCACATTGCCTCTTAAAACAGTAAATCCTCTAAATCAGAAAAGGAAGAGATATCTTGGCTGATGGGTATGGATCAATGTCTCCATTATATTTGTGGATTGTATTTGTGGATCCCCTTGGTCTGCATTCTCTTCCAGTGAACTTGCACAACCTATGCTCCACCAAGTCACTCACTTACAGCTCAGCACCCATGTAGAGGATCCGTCTAATAACATCAGGGTTTAATCTGTTCTTTTAGCTGTGGATGGGTGCATCTGCTTTATGAGGCCAGTGAGCCAAATAAGGCTTAACAAGCTATAAGTTGTGGATGAGTCTCATAGAACAAGGTTTTTTCATGAATCTGATACTCTCCAATTGTGTTAAATTGTGAATTGTAGACAACATGATTTTTGAAGTTATAGAAAGAATGAAACAATCTGGAGGGGGCCAGGATGGGAAAGTCTGCTTTGAAAACCATGGGGTGCCATTTTGAAATCAGAGTAGAACTTCCTGCAGGCCTGTTACTAGATCTTCCCTGGGAGATGTCTTTGTAGAATGCAGAGATAGATTTTCCAGGTGAAAAAAGAAGGGTTTTCTTTAAAAAGCAAATAAACTGCCCAAATATGAATTTTAGGAATGTTTAAGTTTTGCTCCAGAACAGAGGAGAGAAAAGGATTCTCCCACAAAGCCCAATCTTGGATCCAGTAATTTGGGTAGAATTTCGGTCTGGTTCTTCAAATATGTGTAACAACTACAATCAATATGGGTATATATATATATATATATATTTTTTACCTTCTTGAGTTAAAACATGGCTGGCAGAAATGTCTTCATCAGTATCAGTTACTTCTACTGAATATGTTCCCAGGTCCCGTTCAGTAGCATATTTCAGAATGACCTTAGACCTTAAGGAAAAGAAAATGCAAATAGGCTATCTACACAACTGACTGTCCAAGATGTTTGTATCCTGCAATTTTGCAAGGCACCCGATTAATGATCAGTGGTCTTGCTCCTTGAATGAGTAGTAGAATGAATCATGCCAAAAAACCCCAAAGGACAACAAAATACAGTAAACTCAGGAGAATAAATCTGGCAGACTCTGCAAATATGTTTGCTTTTAGTGCATGAGATATGATTTGAATGGGACCTCTGTGCATAAAATGCAAAGTTAGTGGGCTCAGAAGTGCAGCAGGGATCTCAAAATTGGTCGTACAAGTGGGCCTATTTGTTAATATCAAGAGAAATGAGATGTTGAAACAGATGCATCTGACTGACAGGGACCATAGACAAACCCACCAGTCCTAGAAAGTCTGGGATGAATCAAAAGGCAAGTATTAAATGATCCAGCCCCATGTTGAAGGAATGTGCTTCAATTAGGTGGGGAACTTTTTATTTGTTCTTTTGTTTTAAAGATTGCTTCCTATGAATTTGGCAGCTTGCCACAGGAAATTGAGACAACATCCCAGAAGAGGACAATAACAAATACTTTCATATTGGTGCTAAGAAAATGACATGGATGTATTCGGGAGATCACCAGGAGGTGAAGCTCAGCTTGAAAGTCACTGTATACCAGGATGTTTTTCTGGTGTGGAAAAGCTTCTCTTAAATTTCTACATGTTCAGCTACCACTGAGGGCCCAGAAACCAACAGCAAGGGGTAACCCTAGCTTTCCTCCAAGTTCTCATGAGAATTTACCTGTCATCTTTGTCTATAATTTCAACGCGGTCAGGATTTGGAGGTCCTTCATAGTCTTTGGACCAAATAAACTCTGAAGTGTCTACAATCTCAGGAGCCTCAAATGCCAAATAGATGAATCCTTCCTCATCTACCCCAACTTCAATTTCTTTGGTGTCTGCAAAAGAGAAACAGAGAGAGAAAATATTCAACACTGCAAAGAAATTAAGAACTTTATCACCATGCCTCTCCTTCTAAGGCCCTACCAAAGTCAATACCCCAAATACGGTGGCTTTTGTTGAGAAAGATTAGCAGAGAAAGATGGGAAGAAGAGAGAGAAAGAACAACTGAAAGAATAGCAATGTTGAGAGGAAGAGAGAGAGAGAGAGAGAGAAAGAAGGAGAAAAGTGGACATTTTATACCTGGTTTAGTTTTCACTATCACAGGATCTGATGGCAGTGATGGTGGGCCAACACCTGCCTTGTTCTCTGCTCGCACTCGGAAAATGTAACATTTCCCAGTTTCCAGATCACTCAGCTGATGGGGAACATAATACAAAGAGAAGGAGCAGGTCACAGAATGTTTGATAGAGATCACAAGTAAAGCTATATATTAAAATATATAAATGTCTATAGGGGAGGAGAGGTCCCAGAAGTGATAGCAATAAATTGACTAGTTCAACCTTCCCTAATTTGATACTCTCTGAATACTGATCAACATTAGAATTAATATTTATTTTTGTCCTAATTCTCCCAGTAACTTACATTCTTTGAGTGGATTGTAAAGATAACCATTCTCCACTTCCAGAATTCCCAGACCATACGTTCATTAGCCATGCAGGCTGGAGATTCTGGAAGTTGCAGACAATACCAACATATCTCTAATAGACTGTTTACAGACTGATAAAGTTTCAGGAGATGTTTTGGAAAACTACTACCTGCAAATTCCTTAGTTATCTATGAAAAGAACCACCTCCTTGCCATCCAAACAGGAGCTATTGCAAAAAAAAAAAAACAAGGAAGAAAACAAGTCTCCACCCAAAAGGACTGAAAAGTAAATTGGCTCAAATGTAAAACTAATCCAGTTGCTGAAATGTTGTAATCTTCTCCCTTTTCCTTTCAATAAACCTTGTGAAAGAAGACTCTGAGAAAATCTTGCTTTTGTTGAATTAGCTGCCATGAGCTTGACGATATCTGGGGCCTCAGGCTGGGAAAGGCTAAACTATATACTATACTAAAATCACAAATACAGATCTCAGTGCTCATATGTCCTGGTTACTCTTCTTCCATAAATGGTCAAATGACCAATGTCTATTAGCCATTATGAGTCTCTCTGTTCAGGAGAAATATGAATAGGTTTGCCTTAGGGCAGTGTTGTCCAAACTTGGCCACTTTAAGACAGGAGTTACAAGAATGTGCCTGTCTTAAGACTCTGATTCCATCACTTTTTTAAAC